TTTGTTTTATATTTCAATTTACTACATTTACAAAGTAAATGAGAAATTTTTGTATTCAAATGAGATGCATCAAAACATTTGCATGCATATTGTTTACATTTTCTTTTTTTATAATTTCGCAACTTGAATGTTTACCCTTAACATAAAAAAATTAATTTTAATGTTACAAAAAGTATATAGTATTAAAATTAGGATAAATTTTTTCTTTTCCAAATATTTTTATGTAACGTCACATCATGTCACACGTTCTTAGAGATATAATTTTCACATTCACATAGATAAAAATGAATAGTATAATAATCATTAATTAATTTAAATTCATATTCGTATAATAATAATTATAATAAATATGTGACACGCTCTGAAGAAAGTGACTTAAGAAGCAATGACGAATTATATGTTATGTTTACAATAGTTTTATTTTAATTAAAAATTCCTTAATAATTATATGTAAAATTAAATTAGTTTTTATTGAATATTTTGGATGTAATGAAGTACATCAATTGTTTGTATATTGATCAGTTGATCCTCTATGTATTTTTTTTTAAACTTGAAACACAACCTATAATTTTTACGTCCCTTTCTTCATGTGGTTACATAATATTATTTAAGGAGAGATAATTTTTCAGATTTATAATCTTTATTTTTACTGCCGTGTTTTCTAAAAACTTAGGTAACTACAAAAAAATCGAAAAATGAGTTTTTTATATCGTTGGAATCGTGGAAAAAAGATACACCTGTTAATGCAAATTATTTTTAAAAATTGTTAATATTATTAATAATAATTTTTGCATAAATAATTGAAAATACCGGTACCTCCTTTTTCGAGCCCTCGTCGCATGGAAAACTTAGGTAACTACAGAGTGCTATCAGAGCACTGTAGTTACCTAAGTTTTCTATGCGACGAGGCCTCGAAAAAGGAGGTCCGTGTTTTGAAGGACCAAGTAACTGCAAAATCTTATACATTTCTTTAAAATTACAATGTTTTTTGTGCAATTAATAATTTATAATGACAATAAATAATGAAATAAAAAACTCCAATACTATACCCTGGCGGATTCGATTTGCGTAATGTCTACTTAACTAAGCGGACTTTAGGTAGACATTAGGTAGACATGTAAAAAAACGTATAAAAAAGCTATTAATCGACTTATTATGATAAAAAAAAGTTGATAAAAGGGTAAATGAATGTTTATAGAGTAAATTCGTACAAAATTTGTAATTAATAAAGCAATAAATAATTAATAATGAATGGAAATGTGCGCGAGGTACCTGATCAGTTCAGCTGTACAATTATTTTCGTGCTATTTTCATGGAAAGAATATAAATTAACTGCAAAAACAATTGATATTTATAAAAAAGTGTAAAATTGATTTAATTTTATTGTTTGCAATACGAATTATTAAATAATAATTAAGTTTTTATCAAATGTGAATAGTGTTGTGAAAACCTGTGAAAACTAATGAGTTACTACATTACCGATCGCATATGATAATAAAAAGTTCTCTATGAGTGTAACAAAAAAGCTGCAATCATGTCCGTAATTTTGGACGAGAAACAATTATGAAATCAATAATTATTTGTATAACTTTATTCTGCATTTTAAAATTCACTTTTTATTTTCTTTCAAAGCAAAAGCTTGGAAGAAAACATGCTCGCACTGTATTGTAAAGACTGGTGGCGCCATCTCTCATATGCGATCGGTAATGTAGTAACTCATTAGTTTTCACAGGTTTTCACAACACTATTCACATTTGATAAAAACTTAATTATTATTTAATAATTCGTATTGCAAACAATAAAATTAAATCAATTTTACACTTTTTTATAAATATCAATTGTTTTTGCAGTTAATTTATATTCTTTTCATGAAAATAGCACGAAAATAATTGTACAGCTGAACTGATCAGGTACCTCGCGCACATTTCCATTCATTATTAATTATTTATTGCTTTATTAATTACAAATTTTGTACGAATTTACTCTATAAACATTCATTTACCCTTTTATCAACTTTTTTTATCATAATAAGTCGATTAATAGCTTTTTTATACGTTTTTTTACATGTCTACCTAATGTCTACCTAAAGTCCGCTTAGTTAAGTAGACATTACGCAAATCGAATCCGCCAGGGTATATATATATATATATAATTATACCTAAATAATAATTTATCAATTATATTGAAAAATTAAGTATTAATTTTAATAAATAACATAAAAGCATTAATAAATTAAGAAAATGAAGTTCAGCAATATGTTTATTTCATGATTAATATATAATTAATTTAGTTCAATTATTTAAAAAATTAAAATCGTTTTTAATTATTTAAATAAACGTTAATAAAGCAGCGAACTACATTACCTACAATAATTTGACTTTAATATTGTATAATTAAAATGAATTCAATCATATAGTTTAATATTTGTAAAAAACAATAATTATAATGATAACTTTCGCATCTTATTAAATAATTACACTTTATTATTTATTATTTTTTTTTATTTATTTTTATTTTATTTCATATAATTATTTAATATATTTTTACTATTTTTTAATTTAATTTAATTTATTTTTTTAATTTTATTTATGTATTTTATTTTATATTATTATTTAATATATTCTGAGTTAATACAATATTTGACTCTAATATTGTATAATTAAAATAAATTTAACCATAAAATTAAATATTTGTAAAAAACAATAATTATAGTGACAACTTTCGCAGCTTATTAAATAATTATAGTTTATTATTTAATATATTTTTACTATTTTTTGCCCAGAAAGATGAAAATTCTTATATATTCCCTGCAGTTACCTAAGTTTTCTGTGCGACGAGAGGCCTAATACGGGCGCTCGTAGCACGAGGGACCAAGTAACTACCAGTTAAGCAGCGTCTACAATAAGCGCGTCGAACGTGGACGCGCTTATTGTAGACGCTGCTTTACCTAAGTTTCTCGTGCGACGACCCTCGAATCAGCATACCGGTAACTACATTTTTAATAATTTATTGAATGTTTAAACAAATACAACATTTATTTTTACATAATTAAAAAGAATAAATTTAGACGAATCGAAGGAACAAAACGGCATTTAAAAATTTTAATTACGCTTTGCGGTACATATCAATGAAGTTTAAACAGTTTTTCGCGTTTTTCTCGAAATCTTTCATTCTGCAGTTACCTAAGTTTTTAGAAAACACGGCAGTATTTTACTCATTTTTTGGATCCATATTAATTTTATATATAACAGTAATTTAATACATTTATTATTAATTAAAGCCTTGTAAGAAATTAACACGTGACAACACAGCACCTACACTTGTAGCAATCGCTGAGCAGTTCATTACATGAAAAATGACCAGCACTTTCTCACATCTTTTTTCTCTTAATTTCATTATTATTATATATAAATTGTTTTAAATTGGCTTGATAAATAATTTTTTTTTTTATTATTTATCATGTGTATATATATATTTATTTGTTTATATTTAAAAATACAACTCAATAATAAAAATTAGAATCGGAAATGACAACATGGCGGTAAATATTCAGAGACGTCACGTGAGTGTGTCAGTGGTCTAGAAAACAACGTCAATGCGCGCTTGTGTCTGCTGAATGAACTAGGAAAAACCGCAGATTAGGTTACAATTTACTGCTTTATTTTTATCATTTTTGCTTATTTTTTTGAATTGCAATTTTTTAGATGTCTTCAATTCAAGAATTCTCCATCATCATCATCATCAATTATGACGCTGATTAAATACAGGTAAGATAGAAATTTCATTATTATTCTTTTTTTTAATATACCTACCCAGTAAAAAATAAAAGATACAAGAACGGCGGATTGCGGTTACAAGCTCAATAGCTGGTAAACGAATCCATGATAATCTCGGATACAAGCACTTTTCGGTATCCTAAATGATCATAAGCTTGTAAACGCACTGAAACTGACGACTTTTGTAGGTCTTTTAATCAAATAAAAGCAATTAAATGGATGTAGAAACGATAGAAAATTAAATTACAAGCAAAAATAAATAATTATATTTATTAAAGAAACGTACATTTAAACAAAAAACAATTATTTTGACTAATTCTAACCTCTCCATTAAAAACATTGTAAAATCAGTGTTTTGTTGGTAATTTTATCTTGCTATTCGGAAAATATGGTTTTCTACCTTACCGACGTTGAATATTAATTTAACGAGGGTTTTTTTCGAATTTTCTATTTTAAAAGCAATCTAAAATTATTTAATTAAAAGGGGAAGAGGTAATTAAAAATGACCACCGTATTCTGTTTAATAATATTTTGATTATTTTGAATTGTTTCTGAAATTGGAAAATCGAAAAATCTACGTTAAATTAAAATCTAATGTTGGTAAGGTAGGAAACCATATTTTCCGAATAGCAAGGTAAAATTACCAACAAAACACTGTTTTTACAATGTTTTTAATGCAGAGGTTAGAATTAGTAAGATTAATTGTTTTTTATTTAAATGTACGTTTTTTTAATAAATAATTATTTATTTTTGCTTCTAATTTAATTTCCCATCGTTTCTGCATCCATTTAATTGCTTTTATAGATTAAAAGACCTACAAAAATCCTCCGTTTCAGTGCGTTTACAAGCTTATGATCATTTCGGATACCGAAAAGTGCTTGTATCCGAGATTTTCATGGATTCGTTTACCAGCTATTAAGCTTGTAACCGCAATCCGCCGTTCTTGTATCTTTTATTTTTTACTGGGTATATATCTATAAGGAATCTATGAATTTTAATTTGTCAATAGGGTTGACATTGGATTTGTGAGAAAATATGAAAAACTAGGCAGAAAATATGGTTTTTTTTAGATTTCCTCTTAAACCCAATGTTGTCCCATTTTTAAATTTATACAATTATGTTGGAAAAATCTAATACACTTTAAATAAATACAAAAAAAAAAAAACAATTTTTAAGGGGGCATAAGTGGTTAAAAATCGAAAATAAATGTTAATTTAAAAATAATAGGGTTAAATTTTTTTTATTGGCATTGAAAACTACATAAAAAATCCTTTAAGGCGCTTTCACACCTTTTTGGCTGCCTGCAGGTTACCATGGCAACGCATGAGAGTGAGTGCGACAGAAAATTTAAAAACTTGAATATTCAAATTTTCTGTCTCACTCACACTCGTGCGTTGCCATGGTAACCTGCAGGCAGACAGGGCAGCCAATAAGGTGTGAAACTTACACTAATTTTTCATTATTAATTTAAAATTAAAAAGGTATAAATGAAAAAAAAAATCTATACTCATTTTTTTTACAGAAAAATTTATTATAGTCGAAACCCAAATAGCACCATTATTTTGTCAATTTTTTTTTAATTTAAATAATTAAATCACAGAATAGAAAAGGAGAAATAGTGAAACAAGTTACTAACATCGTGGCTAATAAATTGTACTCCATTTTAAAAATGTTTCATAACAAATGTTTCCATATGTTTCCAAAGAATAAATTAAAAAAATTGTTTCGCTATTTCTCCTTTTCTATTCTGTGATTTAATTATTTAAATTCAAAAGAAATTGACAAAATTATTTTCCATAAAACTATTAAATATTTATTTTACTAAAAATTGCATTTTAAAATTTCTAAAAAATTTTCCGCGCAATTTTACTACAAATTGTTCTTGAAACTTTTCGACAATTTTGCTTAGCATGTTTGCAGAAAGTTTTTGTTGCTAAATTGCAAAGGGAGGACATTTCAATATTTGCCACAAGTTTTCTGCAAACTTACCTTACAAACTTTCAAACCTTGCACTGCAAAGTTGCTGCAAGTTTCCATGCTATTTGGGAAGTTAATTTAATTTTTAGTTATATTATTAAATCCTGTTCAGGAACAAGAGAAAAAAATTATAATGAATTTTTATTGTGACAATGTTAATTTTTCAAAGGGATAAATTAATTCGTTTGTATCAGGCTGCACACAAGATAATTGTCGAACATTCGAAATTAATTTAAACATTCTATAATTTTTTAGATTATTTATATTATTATTGCACACAAATAGACTCCTGTGTAAGGAAATTTGCTGCAAATGCTTCATATTACTTATTTCATTAATTTCATTCTCAGTTATTTCCCATGCAGTTTTTTGATTATAATTAATTTCTAAAATCTGAAAAAAATTATACCATCAAAACTAAAAATTCAACTCAAAACTTTTGTATTGACAATATAAATAATTTTTGTCAATTTAAGAAAAAAATCATTTCTTTAAATATATGTAGTGGATAACACAGGCTAACAAAATTAGAACATTTTTTTTTGGTAGGGGAGAGTGGTCCTATGTCGGCCCTGTGGGTAAAGTCGGCCCCCCCGGGTTTCTCAGAGCTGGCGTTCGCGGCGAATTAATAATTTTAAACAAACTCTTTTTTTACATACACTAAAATAATTATTTTAGTGTTTGTTAATATGTCACACTACAAAATTATTAATTTGACGCGAACGCCAGCTCTGAGAAACCCGGGGGGGCCAACTTTACCCACAGGGCCGACATAGGACCACTCTCCCCTACGGCAAATGTCTGATAGGTTTTTTTATGTTGAACACGAATCCGTAAACGAAAAGTTTCTATCAGCTCTAGTTTTTAAGAAAAACGGGTTTAAAATGTCAAGAAATCGTATTTTTTGCAAACTTTAAGTACCTCTATCACTGAAACAAAAGATCGTAGAAGCTTCCACTTGGATTTAAATTGAAGCTTAATGTTATTACTACAATCCCCAAAAAGCACCTTTCTGGTACCATGAACTCAAGGTCATTTGTAATCCATTTTTGAGTTGTAAAAATTAATTTTGGAATAATTTGGGTACGTACCTCCAGCGATGAAATTTATTTATTTACAGTGTGAACTCTCTATTACGAATTTCAAGGGACCGGGCATTTTGTTTCGTTATAGGGAGTTTTCGTTATATCGAGTGAGCAAAAAAAACAGTATTTCACATTAAATTTTAATTTTAAAAAAATAGACAGAATTAAAGAAAAAGAAGCTAATCCTTTGTGATCATGAAAACAAATTATTTATAATAGTCTTATCTTATCTTTATTCTTCCAAATAGTCGCCACAGTAGATGCACTAAGATCAAAACATTTCCCGACATCACTTTTCTTTTCGCCTTTTTCAATTGCATGAATTAACGAAACCTTTTCGTCTATAGAAAAACTTTTTCTTTTACAAGCCATGTACAATTAGTCACATTCGACTTCTAGTAAACTCAAACAGAGACTAAATTAATTTTTCACAATAACGAATACATTCTTATCTATCTACCTATACCATCAGAAATTGTCTGGCAGCAATAACAGCACACAGAAGTAAACAAATGAAGCAAAATTGGGAAAAAATATTTTTATTTTGAGACATTGTACTTTCGTTATAGTGAGTGACTGCTTCGTTAAAGAGAGTTTATCTATATACAGATTTTAATACAAACCAACCAAATTGAACAGATATTTACGTTATGGAGAGTTTTATCTTATAAAGAGTTTCGTTATAGAGAGTTTCCACTGTATTTGGAACATAACGGGACAATTTTGAAGTTATTGTTGCATCAATATAATTTTTATGGATTGTAGTCTAAAGTTTAAACTTTAGTTTAAGCCTAAATAAAAGGTTCTATGGCCTTTTGTTTCATTGCTAGAGGTACGCGCTCAAACTTTTCCAAAATTAATTTTTGCGACTTAAAAATGTAATACAAATAACTTTGAGGTCATGGTACCAGAAAGGTGCTTTTTGTGGATTGTTGTAAAAACATTAAGCTTCAATTTAAGCCCAAGTGGAAGGTTCTACGACCTTTTGTTTCAGTGCTAGAAGTACTCAAAGTTTGTCAAAAACGCGATTTTTTTGACACTTTAAACTCGTTTTTCTCAAAAACTACAGCTGATAGAAACTTGTCGTTTACGGATTCGCATTCACACTCTAAATCTGAATCAGTGGAAATTTCACTGAATTCAAATCAGTGGCTCAGTTTTCTTTAATTCACCAGTGGAATTTCACTGAGAATCAGTGGTTTTTACTGATTCCCAGTGAAATTTCACTGGTGAATTAAAGAAAACTGAGCCATTGATTTGAATTCAGTGAAATTTTCACTGATTCAAATTTAGAGTGCAGCATGAAAAATCCTATCAGAAAGAGCTTTGACATTTAATGCATCAAAATCAATGTTGACCTGTGTAATTTATTACCTCGAGATTTTTATATGATGAAATATCTTGAAGGTTGTAAATGGAATTGTTGGACAAAATTAATTTTCTCACTGCATCACAATAGTATTTATTGTCAAAAATTGGAATTTTATCGAATTCATTGTTTGTCAAATCTAGTTCTACACTGGTTCCTGGTACGATGCATATATCTTTTGGAAGCATCCGAAGATATTTATTAGTGCAATTGAATTTATAAATTTCATTTTCATTAGTACCATTAATTTCCATTGGTTGCTGCTTTTCAATGTCAATTTTAACATCACATTTTTTATTACATAAACTATTGTCATTGTTATGAAGAAGAAGTGATGGTTCACAGAATAAATGATCAACTTTCAAAAATGAAAGTAAATGTCCCTCGAGATTTTTCGGACGTTGACATTTTAAATTATCCATTATTATGTTCAAAAATTTCATTCTTTTAGAATTTTGATACTCCAATAAGCCGGAAATTTGACATTCACAATTAATGGGATTGTCATTTATAATGACAGTTATTGGTACTGGAGTTGTAATTTTTATATTTGATAAATTGAAGGGAACAATAGCTGCTAGTTGATTGTGAGACAAATCAATGGAAAAATTGTTTATCTGTACCAAACCTTGGTTAAACTGAAAAAAAATTTTTTTTATTCATTCTTATTAATTTGCATTTTTATAAAATTATAAATTATCTATTAATTAGAAATCTCATAAATGGCAAATAAATAAAGTGACTCACATCTAATTCAGATATTTTATTATGATCAAGATTTAAACTTTGTAATTTTAGTTTAGACAATAGAAACCAATCGTCATATATTTTTTTTATGTTATTATATGAAAGATCTAGATGCATTAAATTTAAACAATTGAAAAATATTGAAACAAAAGGATAATCTTTTGTCCAAAGTGTGTCAAATATTTTTAAAGTATTTATAAAATATCCCATTACTCTGCTTTCGAATCTAGAACTAAATAAAAAAGAAAAATATTTTTCAAAAAATATATAATATGAGGTATTTTATGTGAGGAATTTTTTTTTTGAAAACAATTTTTTTGGCATTGATTACTAGATGAAAAATTTTTTTTAAAAAAACCCCATTGACAAATTTAAATCCATAAAAAGATTTTTAGAAGTTATACGGATTTGAAAATGACAGTGTTAACTGAAAACTCAAAAATTTAACGCCCTCTACTTTTTATAACTTTTTTAAAAATGAGATTATATTTTAAGATTTTGTTACTTTCATATAAAACACCAATTTTCCAAAGTAACAAGCCAATTTCAGAACTTTTTTTTGATTGGTAATATATGCATTTTTGAAAAATAAATTTTACTTTTTCAAGGTGAAAGGTACGATTTTTCTTTTAATCGAAGGTTAAGGTTTTTTCATATAAAAATTTATAGTTGAAAAAATGGAACAAGAATGTTTAAATATTGAAAAATAATAAAAAATGATCAAAAATAACCAAAAATGGTCAAAGAAAGCAAAAAATGTTAATTATCAATATTTAAACATTCTTGTCCCATTTTTTCAACTGTATATTTTTATAGGAAAGAAGCTCAGCATTTGATTAAAAAAAATCGTACATTTCACCCCGAAAAAATCAAATTTATTTTTGAGTTTCATTTTTTTGGACAAAAAATTTTTTTTTCAAAAATACATATTACCAATTGAAAGAGCATCAAAACTGGTTTCGAAACTGATATTAATAACATTTTTTTATTTTAATATTTAATGTTTATTTATAATATAATTAAATTAACATAATTTCATACTCAGCAAGATTATCGAGTTGATTTTGACGAAGATTCAAATTCTGAAGTTTAATTAAATTTTGAAATGTCCGATCGCTAAAAGATTTAAATTTATTCCCACTAAGATTGAGAGAAGTAAGATTTACAAGCTTGGAAAATATATCCTGTGGTATCTGTTCCATTTGATTATTGCCAATATTTAATGTTTCTAGATTAATTAATTCATGGAATATTTCGCTTGGTAATGTTTTTAATTGATTATTTTGCAAATTAAGTGACGTGAGTTTCTTATTGTTTCGAAATATAGTTTCTAATAATGATATTAAACCAGTTGACGTTAAATCAAGATATTTCAAATTCGTTAATTTCTTGAAAGCGTATTCTGGCAGCCATGTAAAATTATTGTTATTGAGCGATAGAGTTTCCAAATTAATCATTGCATCAAAAATATCGTGTTCAAAATCATTTATTTTGTTATAGGATAAATCTAAATATTTTAAGATATTTAGATTTTTAAAAATTCTTGGTTCCAAATAATGTATATCATTGTAGTTCAATCTTAAATAACGAAGAGTTGAAGGAAGTTTAAAAAAATTATCTCGATTGCTAATTAATTTACAGTTAATTAAGAAAAAAGTAGAAATATTTGAAAAAAAATCAAGTAAATCATTGTTAATTATTATTTTTAAATTATCATTCATAATAAAGAGAGTTTCTACTTTGTGAAATTCTTTAAATAATTCTTTATTAAAGCCAATAGTATCCAGCTGAATAGTGTTTGTAAATTCTAGTTTTTGAACATTTATTGCATTAATATGTTTAGCGAATTCGCTTAGATTGGTATTTTTTTCTAGAGTACAATTCTCTAAAGAAAGTACTCTTTGCTCAACCATGTGGTTTCCAAAATTGTAATGAAATTTTGACCAATTTGGTGAATGAAAACATGTTAGTTCTACTTTATCTGTAAAAAAATTCACTTTAAAATATCCCATATTATTGGAATTTGTATTTAATAGTGGTCTGGTACAGTTAATATCTACGTAGCCAATAGAACGAATATCTCTACAAATACAATAGGGAGTTGAAGTCATGTCAGAGGGACATTTATTTGAGGTAATATTTTTTTCTATCAGAAGAAGAACATACAGTCTCAATAAGAAGTATCTCATTTTTTTTTCGAAATTCTGAAACCATAAAAATGGAATGATTGAGAAATTGCTTTTTTTAAAAGTATTTTGTTTGAAATTTGATGTTTTTACTGAAAATCAGAGTTTGGAATCGTAAAATAGTACTTATACCCTAATTATATTTAAACTTACCCTTTAATACGGACTGAAGTTAGGAGGAAGTATATTTCCTTTATAAAACTGCTTTTTCAAAAAAATTTTTTTTTTATTTCACTCAAATTTTAAAACAATTATGTGAAACTTTGAGTAGTATCAACGAACATAAAGTTTGAAAATAAAAAAAATATGCTATGGTATATTTCATGTTTTAGCATTATAAATATTTTATTACAAGGTCAGGTTTGTTGATAAATATTATTGTTTTACGTAAATTTAAAAAAACTTTATCTACCCTGCTTTAAAATAAGTTTAATGTTTTTGAAATATAGGATTTGGAATAATTTTCTTCTTTACATTTTTATTATTGTCCATTTATATTCTACATTTAATTACAAACTACGATTTTTCATGTTAAACTTTGTTTATTTATAAATCCGATTTAAAAAATTTTTTTTTTATTTTTACACACATGCACCGAAAAAAATAAAATCTCCAAATGAGAATAAAATTCCTCTCATAAATTACTTTTACATTTTATTTTCAATATACGAATATTCATCTACAAAAAGGAGGATTTTTATTCTTTATTTGAGAATATTTATATTAAAGGATAACTTTTAATCTTTTCTCTTTGATTGAATTTATTCATTTGCATTTAAGATTTTTTTTCTATAATTGAGATTATTCCTCTCAAAATTAAACAAATTTATGCTGTAAAAAAGATTTTTAAAGTTTTATTTTGTTTTGTTGTGCGCATCTTCAGACTTATTCACAAAGTGACAGTTCAAAATAAAATGGACACCGAGCTGAAAAACGTATTATTTGAAATTGGACTCGGAGATTACGTTTCCAGTTTTGAAAGTAATTGAATTTTTATAACTTTTTGTTGACTCTTTAAATTAACTTTCTTGTTGCTAAATTACGTTTTATAGATAATAAGGTTCTAAATCTTCAAACGTTGAAGCAAATTCAAAAAGTCCCTTTCCTGCTGCACGAATTAATTAAACCTATTGGAGATTTGGCAATTCTTTTATCCCGTTTAGAAGAAATTCAAAAAGCCGAGGTAACATAAATGAAAAATTTAAAGTAAATATAAATAAATAATATTAATAAATGATCGATTTAATGTGAGTTTTAAAGGTTAACGGCGTAAATAATAAACTTTCATGTAACTCAAAAATATTAAATCTCAAAATGTTGGAAACTTTTTGAATTCGGTATATCTCACGTTCTATTTGAAAAAAAAACTTCGTTTTAGTTTTGAAAAATTTATAATGAAAAATCGAAAATAATATATTTGGTGTTTTCCATGAATTCTTAAATAAAAAAATATTTAAACAATTTTACTTATGTTTTAATTTGTCAATCCAATTATAAAATTAAAAAGGTCAAAATAATCTTCAAAACTTTCTGTTTAATAATAGATTTTTTCAGGATTATTAAGAAGAAGGTTTTAAGATTATTTTGATCTTTTTATTTCTGAAATTGGACTAACAAATTAAAAGGTAAGTAAATTTACTTTGAAAAAGTCATGTAGCATCGATCAATTAAAAAAAAATAATTAAAATATAAGTTTACTAAAAACGAAAAATAAAATAAATATATAAAATAAATATTGCGTGCTTTTCCTAGAATGATCACTCTGAATTTTCCAATACCAAGAATCCAAACGATTTCGCAGATCCTTCACTTTTAAATGATGATCTATTGCGAGAAATAAATGAAAATTATATTGTACAACCTGGATGCAGCCAGGATATTCTATTTCATAAAACACCCAGCGGTAACCAACAAATTATTAAAAGTCTTCTACAGTCCAATAGTAGCAAAGATATTCAAATTATTGAACAAACTGTACAATCAGAACTCAACTGGAATCAAGACACTGAAAATATTGAAAAACTTGTAAACTCTATCTGTAGTGACAAAACTGAAATTGTTGACAATATTGGACAACCCAGCTGCAGTAGAAAAAGAGATAAACAGACACCAAGAGAAAGTAAATCTAAGCGCGTTTGCAAATGGATTGTGAGTCAAGAAATTTTGCAAATTGTAAGATTTGATTTTTAAAAATTTTTGTAAAACTTCCTGCAAACAACCTTTTAGAAGGACTTTTTTCATTTAAAAAAATACTTTAATACTTAATACTTTAATATTATAAAGATATTTTTGTTTCTAGAACCTTGAGGATTTATTAAAAAATTCTAGTAAAGGAAGGACCATCTTGCAATTTTATCAACAAAATAAATTATTGAATTCACAATCTCGTTCAATTTTGATTCACATTGTTGGTGAGAAATTGTTAGAGCTGAACAGGAAGTAGGTTTAATAATTAACTAAATTATTTTTAATTTGTGTATATCTAATTATTAAAATAGTAATCATGAAAATAAAATTTATTTTCTTTTTTACACACAGCCCCAGTGCAAACGATTATGAACAAGTTGACACAAAAATTAGGCAACTATTTCCATCGGAACCTCAAGTGAGTGTGATAAAGTTTTATGGAATTTTCTAAATTATATACGATTTGAAGTGAAAATTAAAAAAAATTCATTTTTTTTATTTTTGAACCGTTTTCTGAGCACATCTGTAGAATAAGAAATAAGAACCAATATAAAAATTCTGACCTCGGATTTTTAGTTATAAAACCTTTTCTTTTCTAGTTCGTTTATTTTATACGTGCAAAAGTTAATGGTAAAAATCAAAAAAATCACGAAGGAAAGTTGCCAAATTATATTAGAAACGTAAAATATCGCAATGCCAAGTTACTACACCAAGAAGGCGTAGTAGATACTGAAGATTCGGATGAAGCAGAAGTGAATGTTGAATCGAAAGTGAGCAATGACGTGTTAAATGCAGATGGATGGTTGAAAGAAAATTTAGAACCCTGGTCTGAAGTCGAAAAGAAATGGAAATCCACACATCATTTTCGTTTAAACAGTCTGACCTCATCTGAAAACACATTTCTGCCAATTAGTCAATATTATGAAAACTATAAGGTCCTCAGATTAGTGTTAGGATACACTCTGCTTGAAGCAGATTTCGAATTGAGATATCCAAACTCCGTTCAAGCATTATCTTCTGATTGGAACCTAAAACAAGCAGCATTACTAAAATTGATAGGACTAGAATGTCATTCTGCAGAAATAAAAGATACTATTGACAACTTTAAGTCATTTACAAACGGTATACTAGAATATTTTACACTTTGTATGAATAATACTGATTCCTAGTTTTACATTTTATTAAATATCACATATTTTTAGATGAAAAAGATAATTTACTTTTTCAACTGCTGCCTTACCTATTTCCTAAGCAGCCAAAGTCAAGGGGTAAAAAAAGTCAGTCGATTACACCCCGTCCAACGCAAATAGAATCTCAAGAAGCTTTTATTCTCCATGTGAAAGTATGTTAGGAAAATTTTTATGTTTTTGTAAAAAAGCATAATAAAAAAACAATCAAACAATTGAGCTGCCGGATCAAAGAAGGGCACATAACCCATTTGAATTACATTGGTTATGTGCCCTTCTTTGATCCGACAGCTTAATTAATTTAATTATCTTAATTATTTAATTTAATTAAATTTAATTAATAAAAAATTAAATTAAAAAACAAATAATAAATCATTTTGCATTGTAGTCACCTAATGACATTGATCCTGCCATAATGAGACGATTAAATCAAATGAAAAAAAAAGAGAAACTTCAACCTTTCATTCTATGTGTTGGAACAACTCGTGCAAAATTGTCAAGAAGTTATTGTATTATCGACACCATCAAGTACGAATTCCCCAACTTGAAAAAAGCTTTCGACGTTTGCTTTAAAGCCATCTTTGCTCTTCATACGGAATATTCACAAGAAGCTTATCAGCCTTGGCTCTTTGTTCAACAAGCTCTATACGATATTTTTACAGAGTATGATAAGAAGAGCGCAAATATTTCGACAATGGTGGGCAATTTTAAAACTTTAGTGAATATTCAGCGTACAACTGAAATTGTAAATTTAGAAGAGCATTAGAACGACATTAACTTTTGCATTAGAATTTGTTAATACTTTAATTTCTCTAAAACGGAATTTGAAGTGATATCGTTTTTATTTTCATCGTATTAAATCTTACAATACTCGAATTAAAATTAACAAAATGGTCTACTCGTGTTTCGCGTGTAAACATTTTCAATGCCTCAATGTGGACAACTTAATTTTTCATATAAAACTTTGTCACAAATCAGTTGATATATATAGATGTACAAACTCTAATTGTTTAAGATCCTATAAGAGTTTAAAATCGTTCATAAAACATTTCAAGGATAAAATATTACATTCCGAATACTCAGAAGTCGATAAAGGTAATTCCTCTTCCTCAGTTTTCATTAAAATGAATTTTGATGATAAAACTAGCACTGATTCCATTTCTTTTTGTGATAATGACAATGATAAGTTTGAGGATAGTTCGAAAAATGTAGAGTACAATCCTACCAATATTGAGCTTAAGGAAGACGTAGCAGATGCTGCTCTTTTATTTACGTCAAAACTATATTCATCTAGTATAGTGACTCGTAGCACAGTGCAAACTGTAGTGGAAGGTGTTTCAGAATTGTTAAGTGGTCCTTACATTTCATTTCTTGAAAAAAAAGTTTTAAATATTTTAAAATCAAATTCTGTGCCTGATAAAGACATTTTAGATATTCAAACTGGTTTTCAAACCATTTCAAATCCTTTCGATGGTCTAGAAACTGATTATTTGAGAATTCAGGCTTTCAAGGAAACGGGCATGTACATTGAACCAGAACCATATATCATTGGATCTGAATATGATACTAAAAAAGATGATCAAACAACACAACTTCAGCACTGTAATGTGTATGGTCAACATATCCCAATGAAGGAGGTTCTATCTCGTTTTCTTCAATTGCCTGGAGCACTCGAAAGTATTTTGAAAAATCTTGAAGAACTTTATAAATCAAAGAACGATGATTTAATTACAAATATTGTTCAAGGAGAAATGTGGCAAAAAAAGATTAAAAATTTTGGTGATAAAATAGTACTTCCAATTCTTCTTTATTTTGATGATTTTGAACCAGATAACGCTTTAGGATCACATGCCACAGATCATAAGATTGGTGCATTATATTATTCTATAGCTTGCCTTCCTCCAGAATTAATATCAAAAATTGAAAATATTTTCCTAGGTTTGCTTTTTCTATCAGAAAATAAAGTTTTCGGAAATGCTAATGTTTTTAAACCTATAATTGACGATCTTATTGATTTAGAAGTGAATGGAATAGAAATTAATGGACAGAGAATTTATTTTTGTCTTTGCGCAATTCTCGGGGATAATTTAGGACTTAACGAAATATTAGGATTTATTAAAGGATTCAACTCGAATTATCCTTGCAGAATATGTACCATTCACAAAGACAAACTTCACTCGCAATTATTTGTTGACCACTCTCTTCTCCGAAATTCTAAAAATTACATTGATGACGTTGAGACAAATAATGCAACAGAAACTGGAATTCATGAAATGTGTATGTTAAATAGAATTCCTAGTTACGTTGACCCAACTGAAAATCCTCATTTAGATATTATGCATGACGTTTTTGAAGGCGTTGCAAGATATGATATGGGTGAAATTATTTATTACATTGTAGTGGTTAAGAAATTCCTTAATCTTCTCACTTTAAACGAACGTATTCGAAGTTTTGATTATTCTTTAACAGATGATGGAAATGTTATCCCTACCATCTCGGAAGAAAACTTGCGCTCAAAAAATATAAAGTTATCTGCATCAGAAATGCTAACTCTTGTTAGAAATTTTGCTCTAATGGTCGGAGATTACATTCCTGAGGATGATCCCGTCTGGTGTTTTTTCTTAAGACTTAGGGAAATTGTTGATTTTATAACAGCTCCCTATGTTAACAAGGAAATGACAGAATATTTAAGGGTAATAATATCCGAGCACAATGAAATGTACATCTCGCAATTTGAGCAAACCCTTAAACCAAAATTTCACAACATGGAGCATATTCCTGACTTGCAACCGATACTTGGACCTTTGATTTTTATTGAATCTCGTCGTTGGGAGTCGAATCACAGACCTTTTAAACAAGCTGCTCATGTTTCTAATTCGAGAACTAATTTGCCATTGTCGTTGGCTACGCGATTTCAATTAAAACAATGCAGTAGATTTCTTGCAAACGAACCTTTATACATTGATCTTGTTTGTGGACCCATTTCGCGTAATAATGAGACACTTCATTCTGTTAAGGAATATTCTATGTTTAGAAATATCTTGCCGAATACATTAACGCAATCAAAAAGTACAGTAATAAACTGGGTTTTAATAAAAGGCACAAAGTACGAAACAAATGTCGCAATTGTATTGGGCTTCAAAAACGAACTCCCTCAATTTGGTTTAGTAAGATTTATTGTACTACAAGAAAATACTGTCTATTTTATTTTGTCGTTGATCAAAACAATAGGGTTTAATAATCATTTTTACTCATACGAATTGACAGATACGAAAAAATGGAAGTGTTGTCAATATAAAGATTTTTTTTATTATCTTCCACATAAGATAATAATAGCGCCCCGAAGTGGATCAAAAATGATAACACCTAAATTTAAATTTTAAATTTATGTACATGGTTATTTAAATAAATTTATAACTTGTAATCCATGTTGTATATTTTTTTATCATTTTTAGAGTTTAAAAAAAATAAAAGTTTAAAAATATATTGATGTATTTATTTATTTATAAAAAGTATTTACAATTAAAATTAAATTTAAAAGAAAAAAGATACTAATTTATTTTTTAGTAAAAATTAATGTAAAAATAAAATACAAAATATTGTGTGCAATTAATACTTAAAAAATACATAAAAAAATAAAATAAAATTCATAAAATTCATTCAGTTTCAAAAAACCACTTTTTTACATTAATTATTTAATTAACAAATTCTTCACTGCAAATTAAAGTTTTAATTTATAAAAACTTATTTCTGTTTAAATTAAAAACTGTCATAAATGTACTGTAATAAATTTATCAACAATGTTATGTGTTTAACATCTATTTTTTCTAGGGTTAGAATTTAATAATATTGCAATGAGAATTTAATATTTCAGCAATTTAACCTTTAAATTTTTTTAAATATATATTCACTTTAAATTAAATAATCCATAAGCCCTTTTTCACTTTTATACTGAGTACTTTATTTTAAAATTAACAAAAACTAAAAACATTTTAACAAACTGAAAATTTTTGGTAATTTATTGTATAGAAACTCAGCTCGTGTTTTCGCCGTCAATATTTTTTTTTCAAAAATGGTTCCTTTCACTATAAATTACATAATCCAAATAATAACAGGTAAATTAACCCATAAATTGCTTTTAACCAAGTAAAGAAGGTTGACATTTCTGAATTTGACGTAAGATTGAAACAAGATGAATAAATCTTATTTTGAAATTATTCCTCTCAAAATATAAGAGAGGAAAATCCTCTCAATTTGATATTAAAACTTTAGTGCCCATATATAAAAGGAAAAGTTGCTGCAAAAGAAGAGGAATCCTCTAAATTTGAGAACTTTTTTTTTTCGGTGTGAAAATAATACGAAAATGTTGTAATTACTTTTGAAGTTGGCCTGATAATCCTTTTGTTTATATAAATTGTTTAAAAAAATTTTTTACTTTTTTTTTATTTTTTAAAATAAAATGTATTTTAATTTTCTTTTCTATGAGTTTACTAAAAGATCCTAGTGCCCAAAACACTTTTCACTTCAAAAAATAAAAAAAAATAAAATAAAAATTTTTTTTTAAACAAATTATATAAACAAAAGGATCATCAGTCCCACTCCAAAACTTATTACAAAATTTTCGTAATATTTTCATATGTGTAAAAATAAAAAAAATCGGGCTTAAATTTAAAAAAATTTAATTTGTTTATAAAAAATCGTTATTTTTTATAAACAAACTCAAATTTTTTTTTTTTCGTTAACATATTTTGAAAATCGATGAAAAACTGAAACTTTTTTGTATCTTGGTCATAATTTCTAAATTCAATAATTTTAAAGTTAGATGTCATTGTAATTTGGTGTATTTTTAAAAAACTCGGAAAAATCAGATTTTTAAAAATTCATAACTCGAAAATTTGAGCACTTATAAAAAAATACGTAAACTTTTTCATCATTTACTACAACTTAACGCAAAAATAATAAAAATAAAGCAATAAATAGTAAAATAATGTGTTTTATCATAGTTCATTAAGCGGTCACTCTCTCGAATTGGCGCTGTTTACTAAAGCACTGACACACTTAAGCAACGTCTGTGTATACGCCGCCATGTTTCTTTTCATTTTTGTTTAAAAATGCCAATCTTTAAACTTCATTTTTTAATAATTTAACGCAAAATTATGTATTTTTCGGGGAACAGGGAGATTCCTTGTACCCAAATCTATCATCCCTGAAAATTTTAGACAAAAATCTTTTCTCGTTTTAGAGTAAGATGTTTACTACCAAACACTTTTTCCCATACTAGGTCACGTGGAAGATTCCCACATACCCTTAAACATACTTTTGTAATAATAATAGTGAAAAATAAAATAATAATAGTGTGAAATAAAAAGTATTATTTTATATTTACGCATTTTTATCTATTAAATAGATTTTTAAATACTATAATTTAAAAATTAAATAAATATTTTAAATAGAAATTAAATGCACTAAACCTGCATTTCCACGTCACGCCGTGCGTCACATATGAGGATGCATCTGCTTGCTCAAATGAAGAATATTTATTTTTAAAAAATTGCATACTTGATAAAAATTTAATAATATCGGCAATAAGATTTTAATCATTTCCCAAAATATGGAATTTGTTAAAAATAAATTTTTTAATATAATATGGCACATGACAACGAATTTTTATACTATTTTTGAGCTCTCCACAAAATTTTAGCTCAATCTATTAAATATTTTACGAGAAAATTTGCGGAGAATATTATAATGTGAAATCACATAATTTTAACTTATCGGAAAGATTACTGTGGTTTGTTATGCAGTATACTTTTTTAATGGGACAGGATGATTAAAATAAAAGCATATTCTAATTCCTTTTTATTAATTTTTATGATTCAAGATCATTGGATTTGCATTTATTAAGATGGAATAAGTGTTCATTGTATATGATAGGAAGGAAATTTAAATGAGGATCAGAGGAAAAAATTTAAATGCCTACATAATATCCTTCTAAATCATAAGTAGTTTTTTCATCAGTTTATCAATAATCTTTATTTATTTTAATTGAAAGAAAAAGGCAAAAAACAAAATTCACGCGCGCAATAATTAATAAATTATATTTACATCATACATTGAACATTTCAGTTTTATTTCGAACTAACAAAAAGTGAAATAAGAAATTGTTTACCTGCATTTTATTTACATTCGTTAAGTATTAAGTTAACTATTATGAATAAAAAATTTGTGTAATTAATAAAAATTTACATTTTCTTATTTATTGATAATGAAAAAAGAAAATTGTATTAATTCAGTTTGTTTCTGATTTTAGACTTATCAAGTAAAGTTTTTCTTATCAGAAATATAATTTCCTATGAAAATAATAAATTATTATTATTATTATTATTATTATTATTGTTATTAATAAATCAATTTTGATAGTCTAAAAATTAATTATATTTAACAATATTTAATCAATTTTGACAATATATAGTAAAATTATAAGTTTAATTATACCTATCTGCAGAAAAAATAATTAAAATAATTTCACTCATTAATTTTAAAAATAATGACAAATATTCAATGGTGAATCGATGTGTTATACATATAATTAATTGCATATTATTTCTTTTTGAAAATGTGGACTTTAATATTATTGTGTATTGTATTATTAATTTTTATAGTTATTTTTGATTTTTTTCAAAATAAAGAATTTTATAAATATGCATCTCGATTTCCTGGACCAAAATGTTTGCCATTAATTGGAAATACTTATTTGTTTAGTCTTACAAATTTGACTAGTGAGTAAAAAAAATTACTGTGTTGCATTTTTTTAAAATATTTAATCTGTTGAACAGTTGAACAGATTTATAAGAACATGTGAACATGTGTAATTTTAATTACTCGAACCTTGTTAAAAGTGAATAATTATTATTAATATTAGATTAATAAGTAATATTGAATTACAATTTTTTTTAGATGTCCTCAAAACGTACATGAGAATTCTTCATACATATCCATCACCAAGCCGATTATGGATGGGCAAATCTTTTTGGATTAATGTTTATGATGCTGATCAAATTCAGGTAAGAGAATATTTTTGTATTATTAAATTTTCCTATATGGTTCTTATTTTTTTATTCAGTTATTTTTGAGGCAAGAATTTCTTCTAATTATTATTTAACCAAAAAAAATAATCCATAAATATGTTCTAAAAATTAGTTCGAATTTTTATTTGTCAGAATTTTTATTTTCTCTTGTTTTCATTTTACATAATAGGCATTTTAAAGAACTTTTATTGGGTAGAATTTCGTTGCATTTAATTTTCTTTCAAATGAATTTTCATTTATTCGAATTCTGAGGTCAATTTAAAAGTTTGCGCATCAATTCTTCTGTCAGATATATTTATTCGAACAAATAAAAGTTCTGTAAAATACAAATTTTCACCATTTTAAGATTTCTGTAAAAATTAAATTCGAACAAATGAAAAGTCGACTATAAAAGAATTTTTTAATATTCTGTCTCTGTAAAATCTAAATTCTGTTAAATGGAATTTCTGTTAAATAATATTTCTCAAAATTCTGCTAAAAATAAATACTGAGTAATGAAGTCCTATCAAATGGAAATTGTAACATATTAATTTTAGAGCTTATTCATACGTCTCTTGTCTTTAAGTTATATGACAAATGTTATTTTATTTTATTTCTCTTTTGTGTAAGTTAACACAAATTTTTCATTATTTATTTAAAAATTAAATAAGTGTAAATAAAAAAATCTATATATACATTTTTTTGCAGAAAAAATTGTTATAGTCGAAAATTTATTTAAATTTTTAAGTAGGGCCAGTTGGGGTAAATGCGGACAAAATCCCTATTTTTCACAAATTACGTAAGTTTCTTTCTTTAAAAGGTAATATTTGCGGGTTTATTTTTTTTAAGTTGTTATTTACGTTCCCAGGATTAATTTTATGCAGCAGAAAAAATTTAGAAAAGATTTAAACGCATGAAACTGACTGTCCCTATTTACCCCAAGATTTAGAAAATTTCATAAAATTTGGGTTAAATGGGGAGAGCATAGTTTCTAAAAAAAAGGTTTAAGAAAAAAGTTTCCTTAATTATATTACTGTATTAAGGGATGAAAAACTTGAAAAAAAATTGTATTAGATATATAATAGTTGAACCAATTGAAATTTTTTTTTTTATTTGAGTATTTTGTATCGCATTTGAAAAAAAAAACAGACTTAAAAATAATACAAACATTTTTTCTTATTCCTTATGACTCCCATAACAGAAATTCACTTGAATTTTTGATTTTTGTCAATTTGGTTAATAATAACAAGCTGTTCCCATTTACCCCGAGTTTTGAAAATTCTTAGGGTAAATGGGGACAGCTTGTTATTATTAACCAAATTGATAAAAATAAGAAATTCAAGTGAATTTCTGTTATAGGAGTCATAAGGAATAAGAAAAAAATTTGGTATGATTTTTAAGCCTGTTTTCATTGAAATGCGAGACAAAATACTGAAAAAGTTTGACTTTGATTTTGAAGTTTTTATGCATTGAGCGATAACTTGAATTATCTTGCTGCCAACTGTCAGGATAAAAGCTTGGTAATACTCAAATCCTCTTGTAGGTGATCTGAGGTTAAAATATTGACGTTGAACTTAATTTTAAAACTGTAAATTAAGTTCTAACACCTCTTGTCCCCATTTACCCCAACTGACCTTATATCATTAAATTCTGTTTAGGACCAAGAGATTAAAATTATAATGAAGTTTTGAGGCCCATGATTAAACCCCAAATTTGTTTTTTTTCGAATTTTTATTTTCTCGAAAATCGTTTTATTTAAAAGGAATTGACTATAATTTTTTCAATTCGAATATTCAGATTATATGATAAAAATACTTTCAAATTATTATTTGACAAAGAATTTTTTAACTTCGAAAGAACATTTTTTATAATTTTCAATTCATCGAATAATCATTTCTCATAATTATTATTGTAGCGAATTGAAAAAATTATATAGTCAATTCCTTTTAAATAAAACGATTTTCGAGAAAATAAAAATTTGAAAAAACAAATTTGTGGTTTAAGGAGGTTCATCCCAAAATCGATTTTCTACAGATTTTTTAAAAATTTTTAAGATGTATTATTGACATCACTTTACATGTGTTGTTCAAATTTTATTGAATTTTACCGTATCATTTTCAAGATAAAAATTGATAAAGTTTGAAGTTTTACATGGGAACAGTGAAAAAACATGAAAAATGACCATATTTTCATTAATTAAAAAAAAAACGGTTCTACAGATTTTTTTCAAAAACTAATATGTTTTAAATTATGAGTTTTAACAGTCTTTACAAAAATATGAAATTTTTTTACCGTTTGGTTGTGAAGTAAATGTTAATCAAAGTTAGCAACTTTTGAACTTATCCCATGTAAATAAAAGAAAGAAGAGGAGAAACGGCAAATTAACCTCTAAATTGGCCAGTGGAGCTCAACTTTTATGAACTATAGCTGTCGGTTTTAAACTTACGGAAAACCCCTAATAGAATGAGTACTGCTTGAAGGGATGAACCTCCTTAATCATGCGCCTCGATTTTTTATCGTGACAATATTAATGTTTCAAAGGGATAAATTAATTCCTTTGTAACAGGCTGCACACAAGATAATTGTCGAACATTCGAAATTAATGTAAACATTCTATAATTTATTAAATTATTTATATTACTATTGCACACAAATAGACTCCTGTGTAAGGAAATTTGCTGCAGATGCTTCATTTTACTTATTTCATTAATTTCATTCTCAGTTATATCCCATGCTATCTGTTGATTATTATTAATTTCCAAAATCTGAAAATAATAACACCAACAAAATTAAAAATTCAACTTAAAACTTTTGTGTTGAGAATATAAATAATTTTTATTGGCAATTTTTTTTTAATTATTTCACTCAGGGGCTGTCTCGAAATATTTGTGTCGTGTCGTGTAGTGTCGCAACTCGACACATTTGGAAACAATTAATCGTATCGTGGAGGGACCCGACACTTTTAGAAAATTTTCAATCGTATTGTGGCGCGACCCAACACATTTACAAATTCATAATCGTATCGTGGCGAAGCACGATACGTTTAGAAATTTCTAATCGTGGCGCGACTGGACACAATAACAATTTGAGAATCGTATCGTGGGGCTGACCTACACGACACAATACAAAAATAATTATGAATTTCGTGTCGCATACAATAAAACTTGTTGATCAACATCTTGACAGTTTATTAAATGTTCAATAACATTAAATGTAAATTATTAAATTTTTATTATATTATATTATTTCCACGTATTTATGTTTTCATCCTACACTGTTTATTTTCATGTATTTCTTTTTGTATTATCAACAACTTATTGTATTTGTATGTAAACAAACCACATTGAAAATTAAAAAAATTTTTGTTTAATAAAATAATTAGATTAATTTAACTTATTAACGTTTTAATTATGATTTAAAGAATTTAAAAAAATGTAATCCCTGATTACGAATCCAATATCAGTTTAAAAAATTTTTTTAAATCAATATGGCGCATCCAATATGACGGATGAGAAAATAAAAAATTAAATAATTGCCTACAGGTGCAAACTGATGTTTGCTATCTGATCTATCAAAATTAGTAACCACAGCTAAATTTTTTGCTATGCGTGTAAATAAATATTCCATGATTTATATATATTTTCTGATAGTACCCGGTTATGATACACCCTGTATATTTAGTCTATATTTATTTTAATTAATGCGACTTTTTTATTTTATTTGTTTACTATATTGTATAAAATTTTCAATTTCTTTGAAATCTTTGAAATATAATATAATATAAAAATTATATGTCGTATCAAGTCATAATACGATACATTTCTCCATTTCTAAACGTATCGTACTTCGCCACGATACGATTATGAATTTGTAAATGTGTTGTGTCGCACCACGATACGATTTATTGTTTTTAAACGTGCCAAATCGTGACACGACACGACACTTTCTTAAAATTCAACAACATTTTGTGTCCGAGACAGTCCCTGATTTCACTAAATAAGGAATAATTTATTACCTCGAGATTTTTATACGATGAAATACCTCGAAAGTTGTTAATTAAATTGTTGGACAAAATTAATTTCGTCACTGTATCATAATAATCTTCATTGTCAAAAACTGGAATTTCTTTCAATTCATTATTTGTCAAATCTAGTTCTACATATGTTTCTGGAAATATACACATGTCCTTTGGAAGTGTTTTGAGATATCTGTTAGTGCAGTTGAATTTATGAATTTGTTTCATTTTTACATTAGTTTCATCATTACATATACGTTTTTCAAATTGAACATTAACATTACATTTTTTATTACAGCAACTATTGTAGCATTGATTAAGTGATAACTCACAAGATAATTCACTAGATCGCAATGAAGAAAACAAACGTCCCTTTAGTTTCTCTGGACGTTGACATTTTAAATTTTCCGATACTATGTTCAAAATGCTTACCACCAAATGTTTTATTTCAAAATTCATATAACGCAATAGATCTATAGTTTTACAATCGCAATTAATGGGATTGTCATTTATAATCACAGTTATTGGAACTAGGGATACAATTTTTATATCTGAGAAATTGGTGGGTACTATACCAACTATTTCGTTGTGAGACAAATCAATATAAAAAACTTCTTTTTGTATCAAACCTTGGTCAAACTAAAAATAAAATTATTTTTTATTTTTATTTATCATTATTATTTATATTATTATAAAATTATATTTTGTAACTATTTATAAATGGGGGGGTCTACGCCATATAGCGTTAATTCTTTTGATTTGGTTTAATTTAAAAAATTTTTTTGTATTCTACAAATAAGGGTTCCATGATTTTTTAAATTAAGTATTTTATAAATCTAAATTTTTTGCAATTTAAATGTTAAAATCTTATTTTACCAATCTAAAAATCACATTTTTAAAAAATGTCGTTGTATATATATATATATATATATATACACTACATTTTCATAAATATATCACGAATATTATAAGAGCTAAACGGATAATTTTTTTAAAATTGTAGATCTCATTGGCGGACAAATAATGAGAGTACTTTGATCCATATTAGTAAAGATTAACTATTATTCTTTTGCATTTTTTTTTCTTTTTTAGTATTAACTGGTTAATAAGGTTATCGTCTGCGTTTTTTTTGAAAACATCGAATTGAGGTTCAAAAAATCGGAACATATAGGAAAAAGTCAAATCACAGAAGTGGATGCACAGTTGTTTCATTTGCATTTTAATTGTTAAGATACATAAACAAATTTTAATATACTTTTAGGTAGTAGTTGAGCAAAACAAAAATTTTATAATTAAAATCATAAACCAAAATTTAATTTTTTCTTTACAATAATAAAAATTGCACGGAAAAAAAAGTATTCTAAAATTTAGTGTATATACTTGCCACCTATTTTAGAATATTTTATACTTAATTTCAGTATGTAATATTTTTAAAATTAGAATATATTCTTAGTATTCAGTATATATGTTACCGGCAAAACCCGAAGTCCAGGCAAAACCCGATTTGCCTAGGCATTTCGGGGTTAACCTATGATTTTAGGAAATACCAGAATTTCCTAGAGGTTCAAAGACATTTTCCGAATTGCTTAGGAAATTCAGGTTTTGCCTGGGTAAATCGGGTTATGCCGAGGTCGTTTTAGGCAAATTGAAAATTAAATTAAAGTTAATGGTATTGAGTCATGTATTGATGTAAACACAGAGTAAATGATCAATTCTTTATAGCTGGAATATATATATATATATATATATATATATTGTTCACTATAGTAATTAGTGTCTCTTCTGACTTGAATTTGTACACATCTTTCGAAATGAGTAAACGAAATTTCTATACAGAAATGGAAACGTGAGTTTTTTTCTGCAGTTAATAAATCTGCAAATTACAAAGTAATTAATCAAGCAGAGTATGACGAGATTTTAGCTGATATAAAAAGTGCAAAATTAAGTGAATCAAAAAGTAGTCTTCAGTACCGAAGGTTGAAGAGATACGATATTTTAGAAGTTGCGGGCGTTTCAAAATTAATAGCTATAAGTGTGACGACGGTGAAGTTAAATATTATGTAGCATTAGAAGAAACTTTCGATATTTTTCAATCTGCACATATCGGGACTGGTCATAGAGGACGTGATCGTTTAATAAGTGAAACCTCAAAAAATACGCCAATATAACTCATGAAATTATTTCAACTTTTTTGTCGATGTGCTAAACATGTCACAGTCAAGTCAGAAGAGACACTAATTACTATAGTGAACAATATATTATATATTCCAGCTATGAAGAATTGATCATTTACTCTTTGTTTACATCAATACATGACTCAATACCATTAAATTTAATTTAATTTTCAATTTGCCTAAAACGACCTCGGCGTAACCCGATTTACCTAGGCAAAACCTGAATTGCCTAGGCAATTCGGAAAATGTCTATGAACCTCTAGGAAATTCTGGTATTTCCTAAAATCATAGGAAACGTTCTAAGAACGTCCTTAAAACGTTTTTAGAACGAACATGGTTTTTTGCCCACAGGAAAGGCTCGCGCTCGCACTACGTAACTCGAGTTAACCAAGTTTTGCTTATAAAAAATAAAACGTAAGTCAATTATTTAATATAATTTCTTTAAATAATTAACTTTTGACTTCAGAATTAAAAAGAACTCTATCAAATTACCTAGGAAGTGAAGTTAGATTAAAGAATTATTTATATAACATTAGGTTTTTAAATACAAACAGTTTTTCGTCATTTTCTCCGTTCGAACAAAATATGACTTAACTAAGTTTTTATTTCGCACGGCAGTATACTCTTAGCATTTAGAATATATTCTAATTTTAAGAGTATTACATACTGAATTTTTGAGACCTACAACCTCTAATAGGTCGGATACGGAGTTTTTCTATTTGTTTAATATCGGTTTTTTTGAAATCGTGTACCCCCCCCCCCCCTAGCGGCCACACAAATTTATCTGGAGGGCTGAAAATTAGTACACATATGTATTTTCGCGTGTAGATTACAGGAAAAATATAGCGAACTTGATTGGAATTGATTAACATAGCGTTGTCAAGGAAAAACCATGAATTTTTACGAAAAATGCCTAAAAATGACTATGTACCCCCCCCCCCCCTAGCGGCCACATCTTTTGACATAAAGAGCTCAAATTTGGTACACTTACGTATTTTTACGTGAAAATTACAGGAAAAATATAGCGAACTTGATTTGGATCAATTTACATAGCGTTGTCAAGGAAAAATAAAAAATTTCGAAAAAAATGATTTATTCTCCCTAGCGCACACAATATTCAACCCAAATTGTTCATATTTGCTGTAAAACTGTATTTTTGCGTAAAAAATACAGGGATAAAATGTAAGCACGATTGGAGTTGATGATCAATTTTTATCAAATTTTTGAAGAAAAATGATAAATTTAAGAAAAAAATGTATTTTTCCGCAAAAAAGTTGATCTAAAGTGATTTAAATTAATATATTTTTACGTATTTTTACGTGTAGATTACAAAAAAAATATAGCGAGGATGATTGGAGTTGATTTTTCTGGGGCTGTCAAGAAAAAACTGATAATTTTCGAAAAAATCATGAATTTTCTCCCAATAAAGGAAAAAATTTTTTCTAAAGGGCTTCAAATTTACTATTTTTACGTATTTTTATGTGTAGATTATAGAAATAATTTAATAAACATGATTGAGTTTATTCCTTCAGTCGTTACAACTCTAAAATAAATAAAATCGAGTTACACTCGCACTGAAATCGAGGGTTCCGTACTCGAAGCGAACTTATTTGGTATAAAAAAAAATGTTTAAAAAATATATGTTGTATGTCAAATAAAATAAGTGATACAAAAAGGAACAATTTTGTAAAATTCAAGAAAATTGTTCCTCTTCGTATCACTTATAATAGTTGTCATACAACACATATTTTTTAAACATTTGTTTTTATACCAAATAAGTTCGCTTCGAGTACGGAACCCTCGATTTCAGTGCGAGTGTAACTCGCACTTGTCCGATTTTTTTTGTAACACAGTGTTATAAGTATTCAAAAAAAAAAATGTTTAATCTGAAATTTTCGAAAAATTTGCACCTTATTGTAAACTGCTTAATAAAAAAAATTTGAAAAAATCATGAACCCTTTTTCATGGAGTACAAAAAATTTTCTTGGATAATAACAATATGTTATTTATGATAATATAAAGTAAAATGACTTACATTTAATTCAGATATTCTATTATGAGTTAGGTTCAAAGATTGTAATTTTAGTTTAGACAATAGAAACCAATCGTCATGTATCTTTTGAATATTGTTATATGCAAGATCTAGATGAATTAGATTAAAACAATTGAAAATTATTGAAACAAGAGGATAATTATTTTTCCAATCACTTCTTTGAAATAGCTCTGAAGTAATAAGAAAATCTTGCATTTGCCTTCTCTCGAATCTGGAACTAAATAAAAGAGAAAATTTATTTTTCTCTTACTCCCTAGAATGTTAGTGTATTATATTTAAAAAAAAGGTACCCTTGTTTTTTTTTAAATCATTAAAATCTGGGAAAATTAATATTTTTCAACCGTACTTTTAAAAAGAGTGCAAAAAATGACATCCATATATTTATCTATTTGAAACGAAAAAAAATTCTTATAAAAATTGAAATAAAAATTATTTTCGTTTTTTAGAAATCTGTAAAAAAATATTAAAATTGAAAAAAATTGATAAAAAATCTATTTCATGTCATTTGTTGAATATTTCGAAAAATAAACAAAGTCATCAGTTTGAAAAATATCTTTTTTTTTTAAATTTTATAATATAGAGGCCGTGAAGTTGGCACACCAAGTGCAAGGAAAACAGGTTTTGTTGTATGGAATCGTTTGGTGGTGTTTGGCATCCAAGTTTGGAGGTTTGGTAGTCAAAATTAAAAAAATTCTACGGATTTCAAGTTTAGAGTGATAAGTTCACGACTTCACTGCACATTTATATATTTTTCAAAAATTCCTTTTCATATTATTGGGTGGTACTTACCAAAACTCCAAACTTGGACACCAAACACCACCAAACGATTCCATACAACAAAACAATGAAAACGGCCTCATATACTGTCAACCGGGGCTATTATATACTCACCCAGGGGCTATTATACACAGCGCCACTTTTTTAAATTAATTAAATTTTTATATTGAAAATTGTTTAAACTTGACGTTTGTATACATTTTTTACATCCTTTTGTGTAAAAAAAACCAGAACAATATAAATTATAATTTTGTAACTATTTCTCCCAAGAATAACTTAAAAAGATTGTTAGAAATTATATTGAGTTGTTTACTTAATCTAAAAAATGTTGATTTTAAAAATTTTTACTTTTTTTAATAAATATAAAATTTATTAAATTTTCAATGTTTAACTTTCAAATTTCTTAAACAATTTAAAAAAAATTTTTTTTAGATTTTCTATTTTTTTATCGTAATTTAGACTACATATTTGCAAAAAAGATTTCATATAGATAAAGCTATATAAAAAAAAATGTTGAGAATATTTTATAAATGAACAAACTTTGCTGAGTATAATAACATGGGGCTATTATACTTACCACTTCAAGTTTCTATAACTCTGGTAAAAAATTTTTTCTTGTCTTCTAACTTACAGCATATCTTCAGACGGATATTCACAACATAACATAAGAGTTAAAATTTTTTTATTTAAATTCTTAATTTCGCTAAAGCACTGAGTAAAAAAGTATCGTTTTTTGAGTATAATAGCCCCGGTTGACAGAAAAAAATGATTTTTTTCCATTTTTAAAAAATTTAAAGGGTTTTAAAGCACAGTTTAATTTAATATTTTACAAATATAATTTCATACTCAGCAAGATTATCGAGTTGATTATGACGAAGATTCAAATTCTGAAGATTAATTAAATTTTGAAAGGTGAAATCGCCAAAAAATTTAAATTGATTCCCACTAAGATTAAGAGAAGTAAGATTTACAAGCTTGGAAAATATATCCTGTGGTATCTGTTCCATTTGATTATTGCAAATATTTAATGTTTCTAGATTAATTAATTCGTGGAATATTTTGCTTGGTAATGTTTTTAATTGATTATTTTTCAAATTAAGTGACGTGAGTTTCTTATTGTTTCGAAATACAGTTTCTAATAATGATATTAAACCAGTTGACGTTAAATCAAGATATTTTAAATTCGTTAATTTCTTGAAAGCGTATTCTGGCAGCCATGTAAAATTATTGTTATCAAGTAAAAGAATTTTCAAATTAATCATTGCATCAAAAATATTGGGTTGTAGATCGTTTATTTTGTTGTAGGATAAATCCAAATATGTTAATGCAGTTAGATTCTGAAAGGAATTTGATGACAAAGATTGAATATTATTTCTGCTTAATCGTAGAATATTAAGATTTGGAAGATATCCAAAAAGATTTTCCGGTATCCTCTTTAAATTATTGTTGACTAGATGAAGATTTACAAGATGTGGCAAAAATTCAAATAAATCACTATTAATTGTTGTCAAATTTAAATTATTGGTAATGCGAAGAATTTTTATTTCGTCAAATCCTTGAAATAAGTTTTTATTAAAACCAATAGTATTCAATTGAATGGTGTTATCTGTTAGATGTATTTCTTCGACATTTATTGCATTAATCATTTTAGCGAATTTGCTTAGATTGGTATTTTGTTCAAAAGTACAATGCTTTAGAGTAAATACCTTACGTTCTTGTGCGTATTTTTGAAAATTATAATTAAATTTCGACCAATCTGGTGAATGAGAACAATTTAGTTTTACTTCATTATCAAAAAATTTTAGATGAAAGAATTTTATTTCATCGGTATTTGTTTCTATTATGGGTTTGGCACAATAAATATTTATTTTGTCAGGAGAAAAAAGTCCTTCACAAAAACAATGAGGAGTTGAATGAAATACTGTAGGACATCGGTTTGACGTAATATCTTTTGCTATGAGAAGAAAAATAAATGATGTCAAGAAATACCACATTTCTCGCTTTTTCCAACAACTGAAATAATTATGAATGAATTCATTATATTTCGACCAAAGCCGTTAAGATCTATTTTTTGAAAATTCTAATATTTTAAATATTTTTGTATATAGAAATAATCTTAAATGTTTTAATAATACATATTTGACCATGATTTTCTACATTTTTACTAGTTTACTTTCTAAATTGAATTCAGATTACAAAACAAGTAGATTTTATCAAACTAAAGATAGCTTGTGACAGACATCCTTCTCAATTTCATAACAGTAAAAAGAAAATAAGGGACGCATGATTATGTTCTAAAACTCATTGGTTTGAATTTCCATTTTATGGAATTTCATTTGTTATAATTATTTTTGAGCCGAATTTTTATTTTTTCAAATTAGTATTTTGCAGAATTTTCATCAAAACGATTTTCTATATTACACAATTTTTATATAATCGATAAATTCCCTTCAAAGAATTTTTATTTGTTCAAATTTTTATTCGAATCGACAGAAAGATTTCGGTGCGATTTTTAAAATCAAACAATCAAAAATTATCCATAAAATTGTGACTGGTTGATTTTAAAAATCTCACCGAAATCTTTCTGTCGATTGTTTGTTTGGCCATTTGCAAATTCGGACAAATGAAAATTCTATGAATTAGAAATTCTGTTAAATGATTTTTTGGTTAAGTAAAAATTCTGTAGCATGATAAATCGGTTATATGGAAATTCTATTAAATAATAATTCGAAAAAATGAAAATTCATCTGAAAGAAAATTCTATGCAATGAAATTTTACCTAATAAAAATTTTTTAAAATGCCCATTAATTATGTTAAATGTAAATTCCAGCAAATAAAAATTCTGTGAAGTTAATTTTCGGTAATATAAAAATTCTGTAATATAGAAAATAGTTTTGATGAAAATTCTGCAAAATACTAATTCGAACAAATAAAAATTCTGTTCAAAAAAAAATTATGACAAATGAAATTCCAGAAAATGAAAATTCTATAACTAATCATTTTTAGAACATAATCATGCGTCCCGAAAATAAATGAAATAATAAAAAAAAATAAAAATGTTGTGGGTATAAAATTAAAAGTTTGTATAACTTATAGTTATTTGACTTTAGATTGATTTTAAAAAAAGATATAATTGTTTAATTTAATAACTTACGCGTGTCAATTATTTTATAACTTGAAGCGAGAAAGACTGACACTTAAATAAATTTTTAACTAAATAGATGATATCTTTTATTTAAGTATAAAAGTTACAAAAAATTATTTCGTTTGTTTACTTATAAAAACATTCCACATATGCAAGAATGATTTATTAATATAAATTACCATAAAAGTATGTGTTTGTTAGATACGTGTCTGTAGATAAAGAAACACTTTTTTAATTAAAATATTTGATCTGTTCAGTATATTTTTAATCGATTAAATAATTGTTTAAATATTAAAAAGAGAATATTAAAGTTATTTTAATTTAAAGAGTATTCTCACAAAACTGATGGAGAAGGGATCATTTTATAAATTTTCCAAGCCCTGGCTAGGTAATGGACTTGCAGTTGGTCCAGGTAATATAATATAATTAACTATTTTTGTAGAATGTACATTTTTCATTTAATCAAAAATGAAAATTTTCTATTATTACTCAGAATCAATTTGGCATTATCATCGAAAATTTCTGCGTCCTGCATTTAGCATTAATGTATTGCGACCTTTTCTTCAAGTTTTTCAAAAGCATTCAAAAATTTTAACTGAAAATTTGTCAGTTAAACTTGATGGCAATGAATTTCAAATACTTCCTTATGTAGTAGATGCTTGTCTTGATATCACACTTGGTAAATATATCGATTGATAATAAATTTTATTGTTATATAAATTTTGTTTTAATTTATTAAAGAACCCCGCACTATATATACGTGGGAATTTGGGGTCCGGTGAAATTTTCTGCAACTTTGTAATTTTTGACCTCCTGAACAAAAAATGTAAATGGCAAAATTCCAAAAAATGGATAGATTTTTTTAAAAATTAAGGTTTTAGTTTAAAAAATAGTGTTAAACAACACACGACAAGCCATACTTATGTTGAGTCGTTTTAGTGTTTGTAACAAACCTGTAACGTGAGTCTAAAATGAGCATATAATCGGTACGTTATAACGTTAACTTAAAAAAATTGGTCGGCCATTTTGGATTTTCCTAAACTGTTGTCGAATTCGTAATCAGCGACTCCGAAAACTCTCGTGTAACGAGATTCAAGTGAATTCGATGCATTAAAAAAAATGGTCATCCATTTTGAATCCGCCATTTTGGATTTTCAAAAATTGACATCGAATTTGTAATCAGCGACCCCGAAAACCCCCGAGTAACGATATTTAAGAAAGCTTTTATTTAGTTCTTTTGGTTTTACTCATTTTTGAATTTTTTTCGCTTTTAACACTATTTTTTAAACTTAAACCTTAATTTTTAAAAAATCTGTCCATTTTTTGGAATTTTGCCATTTACATTTTTTGTTCAGGAGGTCAAAAATTACAAAGTTGCAGAAAATTTCACCGGACCTTAAATTCATATGTATATGGTGCGGGGTTCTTTATTTTATTTTATAAAATAATAATAATAATAATAATAATAATAATAATAATAATAATAATAATAATAATAATAATAATAATATTAATAACAATTAAAAAATGAAAAAAAATTTTAAGTTATCAAATAGATTATATTATTATAATTATTTCCTTTTTTTAGAAACCACAGCCGGCGTTTCCAAATATTCAAAAGCAAATTATGCTAAATATTCGAAAGAAGTTAGCAGGTAATTCTCATTTTTAATTAATCGTTTGTCTACATTATAAAGTTTTATCAATTATTATAATGAAAAAGTTTTTTTAAATTAACTGATAAAAGAAGATAACTTATTTTTAATACAATTTTTTTTGTTATAAAAGGCATTTTTTCCATCATGGAAGAATTTCTTTTTCAAACAAATGTGAAAGAAAAATATCATCAATTATTGTTTTTAAATTTATTATTATTATTATTTTTGTATAAATTTTCAAATTTAAAATCCTGAGAATTAAAACATTTTTATTTTAATTTAAAGTTTTAAGTAAAATAACAAATGAAATTTTTTTTTGTTTATATAGAGTTCTAGATTTAATGTTGAAAAGAGGTCTCTCTTTTTGGTTATATCCGGATGTAATTTACAAATTAACAAAAAACTCTCAAATATTTAACGAATCGGTTCAATTTTTACGCAACACTACACTTGATGTAAGTTATAATAATACTTTTTGAAAATTATAATATTTTTATTATATGCTCAACTGTTTCGTGTATAAATATTTAAATATCATTGTGGAATAGTTAATAAGACGTTGCAAATAGTTTAATATAAAAAAAGATAATTCTTTTTATTTACATCCTTTTATAAAAAAAGAATGAAAAAATTATTTCCATATTACATTTTAAATATTATAATAATGCAACAAGAATCAGTTTTTTATTTAAAGTTTTTTTTTTTAATTTTGTTATACTATTTAACATAATTAATAATTATATATAAAAATTTTATTCACAGATAATAAAACAAAAACGAATGGAATTATTGCAAACGGATAAAAATGTGAAAGGTAACAATAATATTGTTTTATACCGGTAATAAATTATTTTATTTATAATAAATATCTGAAATATATCAATTCATATAAGTTGAGATGATAAAAAATAAATATTTTTTTAAAAATTCGATAGCTCAGCTATCCTCATAAGAAACTATAAAAATTTATTTAAATATTAATTTCAAGATATAAATATAAATAATTATGTTATACAAATGAATATATAAATTTATCGTAAAAATGTAAAATTGAATAAATAAAATAAGTTACCTAAATAAAATGATTATTAAAATAACGAGGAGAATAATTAAAATATTTAAAAATTACACTGAGAAAAATGTTTAGTCAGAGCAACCAAAATTTGGTTGGGCCAACAACAAAATTGTATTGGTATTTAAGCAACCAAACTATTTGTTTGAGTCAACCAAAAAATTTGGTTGCATGTTTTTTGTTGGCCTAACAAAATGTTTGGTTGAAATAACTCTACGACTTTGTTTCAGCCAACCAAAATTTGGTTACAAGAACCAAAATCGTCTAACCAAACAATTTTGTTGCAAACACTACATTTTTTTCTCAGTGTATGTAGGGGAATAGTGTCAGGGTTGGACACTTGGCTTTTTTTAAATAAGAACACTAGCGCCACCTGTGTGCGTACGTGACGAATCTTCTAGTAGTGTAACCTAACTTTTTGTGCGGTATTACATTTTTTGAGAATCAAAAGTAGCGTCTCCTGTGACTTCGGTGCAATCGAAGAGACAAAAAAAGTTTTGTTTGACTTGTGAATAAACCTAAAAAATGTGTAAAAAAAAAGCAAGAATTCGGCAAGATAAGCTTATTGAATGTATTGTGGGGTACATAATTTAAGAAGAAAAAAAGTAAAAAATCGAATCGCGACACATGTCTGGTTATGGTTAGCACAATTCGAAAATGATGCTTCTAGTTAGGGTTGGACACTTTATACAGTTAGGGTTGGACACCCATATTAATTATGAATTTGACACAATTTATAAATAAATTTTATTTTATTGATATTTCAGTGCAAAATTGTGCCAAAGATATTAGAGAAATACTACTTAAATTGTATAAATTTTGTTCATCATTTCATTGAGTTATTTGGCACAATAAAGCGTTATTTTTTGTAATTTGAGTTCATTTCTTTTTTAAACCCATGAAGCTTTACAATTTGTAAACAATAAGTAAAGATAAACATGAAAAAATAAGAATAAAAAACATTACAAATGTTATTTTACGTTTTTACCAATAATGCGTTTCGATTTTCGAAAAGTCTCCAACCCTGCGTGAAAAGTCCAACCCTGACTAGATTTTTTTTTAAATGTTCATAACTTTTTTAATTTTGGACCAATCAATTTACGATCCACAGCAAAAGTGTTCCTCTTTTGTAGATCTTTCCACCCATATACCACAATTGACTGAATTTATCTAAACAAAATATTTATAAACAAAAAACCAAAACTGTGTCCAACCCTGACACTATTCCCCTATTTTTATCACATTCAATTGAATAGATTTTGATATATTATAGCTTTTATATTATATATTACTAACAAGTGATAATATCATATTCTAACTAATTTATATTATACATTTAAAGTGTGAAAATTTTTCATTCTTTTCAGACGAAACTGAAAGTGATGAAAAAAAATCATTTTTAGAATTTGTCATTAAATTAGCAGATAATGACAAGAAATTTACGGATACAGATATTATTGATGAATGTAACAATCTTCTTGCTGCTGTGAATAGATTTTTAAAAAATTTTTAAATCTTTGCTAAATTTTAATTTACTTTGGAAATTAAAATTCAACAAATTTACTAATTTATAATTTTTTAGTATATTTTTAATTTTTATTTTACTTTTTAAAATATCCATTTAGTAGTTGTTTCTAATTTTTTTTTTTAAATTTTTTGTACCGTTATTTATTTTGCTATTTTAATTTTGAAATTGCTTTTTAGGGGAATGATACAATAAGTTCTGCTCTACAATTTACATTACTCATTTTGGCTTCTCTGCCAGAAGTGCAGGTATTTCTTTAATTAATTATTCAATAAATATTTTTCAAAAATAATTATGTTCAAATAAAATTTTAAAAAATGGTTTAAAAAATTTTCTAGTTTCATTATCAGGCAAGATTCAGGAAAGAATAAAAAAATTTTGTAATATATATTTTTTTTCAGGAAGCAGTTTATCAAGAATTGTATAATATTTTTGGTAATGAAAGTCCTGAAAGTATTGCCATTACTACAGATATTTTAGCACGAATGGATTACACGGAGAGAGTAATTAAAGAATCTATGCGATTATTTCCACCACTACCAATTATTTTACGGCAAAGTGTTGAAGATGTTCAGATAGGTAGGTAAGCGTTTATTTTATTAATTTAATTTTTTTTGCCAATCTAATTTTAAATATGTAAACTTTAAAGTTTTAAATTAAAAAAACTTTAAATTTGAAATTTAATGTGTATATCATAAAAAAAATATTTTTTTAAGATGACTACATTTATCCAAAAAACAGTACAATATTCATTGTGATCTCAAAAATTCATCGAGATGAGAAATATTGGCCTGATCCATTGAAGTTTGATCCAGATAGATTTCTACCTGAGAAAATTGCAGAAAGACATTCCCATGCTTATTTGCCATTTAGTGCTGGTCCAAGAAATTGTATAGGTTTAATTTCATATATAAAAAATATAAGAAAAATTCCTGCGATATTTTTTATTGCAAAAAAGCTTAATATAAGTTTTCTAAGAACATCTCTAGAATTTATAGTACATATTATTAAATGTTTTAAAAATAAAAATAATTCGTTAAATAAAAAAAAATTAATTAATAATTTCAAAATAAAATACACTGTAAATTGAAGTGAAACTTGCAAATGAAATATTGAGTAAAGATATTTTTTTAACATTGAGGAAAATTAATTAATTTTCTCAATATTTTTGTGGAAGTTGTTTTTCCCTAATATTTCGATTTAAAAATTTTGTATGACAATTATTTTGAAATCTATTACTGAAAGTTGAGCGAAGCTTAGAAAATACATGCAAAGCTAAAATATAAATATTACTTAAATTAAAAATCTATTTTATAAAATTCGAAACATAAGATATTTTTTCTAATAAATTTTTGGGGTATATTTATGCGTCAAGAAAAACTAACATTAAGCATATACAGTTTTTAAAATATCGTTCAAGAAATTGCAAAATATATATTTTACTAAATTGATAATATTATTTTTTACAGGATTCGCCTACGCAATTATGGAAATGAAAATTATTTTAGCAACACTTCTTTACAGGTATGTTTTTAAAAAGGACAAAATTCAAGAAATCGCCGATATTAAATTAACATTGCATCCCGTTTGCACTCCCGTTGAACCTATTTTTTTGAAAATAGAGAAAAGAAATAATCGTAAATTATAAATTTTATATATACACTGAAAGAAAATTCATACTACTAAGTATTAAACTCATATTAGAGTTTAATATAAATGTTACAATTTCGGGAAAAAGTGCACCTATACTGATTACTATTACAGTTTTTATGAAAATATATAATGAATTTAAGAGTAACTATTATTTTAAGAAATAAGAATTAGTATATTTATTTTAAAAATTAGTATTTTCTTTATGAATTCACAGAATACGAAATATTATAATAAATAATTTCACAAAATAGTAAGAAAAATAACATATATCCGTATACTTATTTCACATTTTGTAAAACTTTATATTAAAAGTCACGGATTTTCCCGAGAGACTACGAATTTAACCGAAGTTCTGTCTGTTTGCGGCTTCGTGTCCTACTCGAACTTCTACGACTTGATCCGATTTTCGAAAGTGTTGTTAACCAGCAGAACGTATCTAATTTATTTTCAATTTATAAAAAATGTTTTATTAAAGTTATTTAATAATAATAAATTTATTATTATTTTTATTAATTTTTATTTTTTGATGTCATCTTTACAATTATTTAATTTTTATTTGCAATAAAAATTTTTATAACAATCATAATTTTTAATCTGAAAAAAAGAAAAATCTATATAAACAATTAATAATAAAAATGAACCCAGCGTAACCTCTATAAAATTACACCATTGGCACTAGTAAACTATTTTTTATTATTAAGTTATTATAAGTAAACTTCTTTCTCGCAAGTGGTAAAAATATTCAGTAGTTAGTATATAAGAAAACGATATATGCCGACCCCCAGCGAAATTTATCGTTATGCGTGTAGAATTGTAAGTGTAGGTTTCGTTGCGATCGTGTAATGTCTATGTATAAGCGAAATGAACGTGCGTGTTCATTAGTATGTGTATTAACCTGTATCGTAAGTGTGAATGTGTTGTTCCTAGTCTCACTCCTCTTCCTCCCGAGAATTAACGGAAACGTCCGAGTTTCCACTTTTTTTCCCTTTTCTTCCGACATTCTGAATTTTTCGTATAAAGTTTTACAAATATTAGAACGCTACATTCCATATAATGCAACAACTCTATGAGAATTTAATATAATATTTTCAAATATTGGTAATCTTTTTACGTTCTTTCTACAATAATTATTAATATTTGAAAAAAGATTTTAAGTTGGAACTTTAATATAAAGTATATTGAATTTTAATAAAAAGTACACTTTTCCCTAAATTCTAAAAGAATATATTAAAATGTAATACGCATTTTGTTATTTTTTCCTATGAAATTTCTTTCAGTGTAGTCTTTTATAACAAATCCCATATAAAAAAGTGAAAATTCTGCAGATTAAACCTGTTTAAGGGTATGTGGGGAAAGGGTGTTTTTTTTTGTAGTTTGAATCTTTCTCTGAAATAAAAAATGATTTCAGGTTGAAAATTTGGAGAAATGATTTAGTTTGGTACAAGAAATGTCGCTGTTCTACTCATTTACTACAACTTAACGCAAAAATAATAAAAATAAAGCAATAAATAGTAAAATCATGTGTTTTATCATAGTTCATTCAGCGGCCACTCGCTCGAATTGGCGCTGTTTACTGGAGCACTGACACTCTCAAGCAACGTCTGTGTATGCGCCGCCATGTTTCTTTTCATTTTCGTTTAAAAATGCCACTTTTTAATCTTCATTTTTTAATAATTTATCGCAAAATTATGTATTTTTCGAAGAACAGCGAGATTCCTTGTACCCAAATCTATCATCCCTCAAAATTTTAGACAAAAATCTTTTTTCGTTTTAGAGTAAGATGTGTACTACCAAAACACATTTTCCCATACTAGGTCACGTGGGAGGTTCCCACATACCCTTAATCAAAGTGGACATTTTAATATTTATATAACCTTTACTTAACCTCGCAGAAATAATAAAAATGTAATAGACATAAATAATATACAAAATATTAGATAAAAAGTTTTTTAAATCGTTCATCTGTTTGTAAAGACCAATAAAAATGCTTGCACCTTCAAAATGATTTTTTCTTCTCTTCAGATGGTTAAGCAGTAATCGGGAAATAAACAGGACAACAATGAATGATGATTTGATTGCATATAATTATCTTTTCCTCGGTCTCCATAATCTCGCCTGAGCCGCAATTACCTATTTTTCACCCTTGATACGAAAATAATTATTCTAGAAGAAATTTTTAATACTATAACATTAAAAATAAAATAAAAGAATATTAACAAAAAGACTAATTATTTTCAGTTTTTAATACGTACTAAATGTTTCCAGTGCAATATGTTATGAGTCTAACGCTTTACCAACAACGCCACACACGCTACGTGAAAACGAATGTTAACTTCTTGATGCTATTTAAACTTGCAAAATACCTAGGTGAATTTTCAAAAAAAGTGAAAATATATTTTTATTAAAAACGCGTTTTTCCTTGTTCTGAATCATTGTAAACATTAATTTTTTGGTTCCTGCAAGGTGCGCTCGTGTAGTTCCACAACTTCGAGGTTCGTTTTTTTAAAAAAGTTAATTAATGTTTATTTCAAATGCTTTAAAATGTTATTTAATGCATATTCCACACGGGCACCTAAATAAATAAAATTAAATTTATAATTACAGCTTTTAATCAAAAAACTATAAATTATTTAATTTAATTTTATCTCATGTAGAATATATTTTTAAAAAATTTGATTTGAAGTTTTAAGGAAAATTTAATATTAAAAACTACTTTATTATTATACCTGAAATTTATCTCCGATAAAATATTATATACATTTTTCTTTAACATAAAATTAAACTTGTTCAATATACCGCTATTGAAAACAATTTTGTAAGCAAATCGGAAAGAAGTGAAACAGTGAGGGTAAAAAAAAATGTGTCACATAATTGTTGAATGGCCCCTTATAAAAAATAGTTTATTTTATCTCTTAAAGGATATTTAAAAAAAAAATTCTTGAATAATTTTGCGCTTTTTATAGAGGAATAGGCTTTTACAGACTATTATATATCAAATTGTAATTTATTATTCAACCTAAAAATCATTTCCGATAAATTATACTAAACATATTGTGAATTTATTGTAATTATTTATATTATTGTTTATAATAATTATCATTGTTAAAGTGGAAAATATTAATTCTTATATTATTTATTGAATTTTCAGACAATTCCTAAGAAGAAGAGATCAAAGACAACATCAGGAAATGTTGAAAACAATTCTATATGGACACCGGAAAGAAATTCAATATCAATTTTTAATAAAAACTGGAATTTTGGTCATCGAAGAATTCAAATTTAAATGGGCGCGCGGCATTTCCAGTAGAGTAATATTATTAGCCAATGAACGTCAGGCGTTTGGTGTTTCACCACCAACAGCGTCCCGCGCCACTTCCAATAAAGAGAAATTATTTGCAACCAATCAACGCCCGGCATTCCTAGCGCCCCACCACTTCCATCGACACTTTTCGACGCTGCAGCCATTTAGTCCGCCATGAGCCACGTGCCAAAGAAGATGTCCTGAATTTTGGTGAGTTTTTCTCTTTTACGTAACCCTGATACTACCTCCTTTTCCAGGAAGTTAACCAGGTGAAGTTCCATACTTAATCTGTTAACTTCCAGTTAAGTTCCATGCATGTCTATATATTTCCCTTCTTTTTTTTCCTTTGTTAACTTTCTAGTATTTATCAATTATTTACTAGAAAAATACAAAGGATTTTTTTGTGAAAAATTAAAGTCTTAAGATTTAAAGATTGTGGTTTTAAATTTTTTATATGAAACTGTAACTGGCACATGGCTATCAGCCCCGAGTTAATTATGAAAAAAATTATGTTAGCATTAACATAAATAAAGATAATAAAATTTACTCTAGTTAATAGAGTTAATTTTTATTAACATTATTTATACTATTGCTAACATAAATTTTTTCAAAATTAACTCGGGGCTGATAACCATGTGCCAGTTACAGTTTCATAATTTTTTTTTAAAGTATCCAATCAAAGTACTTTAAATAATAACATTTGAATTTCCTCGAAAATAAAAATATAAATTTTTTTAAAATGAGATTTTTTATTTGAAGCAGACAACCTCGATCTTGTTTTTTTTTTAATATTGTTTCTTTAAACATTATTAATTTATTTAAAATTCATTAAACAAGAGAAAATATGTGTATACTTTGTATTAAATTTAATACAAAATATTCACCTATTTTTCTTCATTTGATGGATTTTTAATAAAATAATCATATTTCAAAGTAATAATAATAAAAAGAAACAAGAGGGGGTTGTCCGCTTTATTTAAAAGGTCATAAATATCATTAGATAATGTAAATACATATTTATATGTAACCTGGACAGTGAAAAAGGGGCTTACGTGCGAAAATTGTTTTTTTTATTGATCAGTGATTCTGATAGAAAAAAAGTTTTCTCTTTCAGAATCACCAATCAATAAAAAAGCGATTTTTTCGCACGTAAGCCCCCTTTTCACTGTCCAGGTAACATATAATATTTAATTATATATAATTAATTTTTACTTTATTTTTTAATTAATACTTTTGTATGAATATTATTGTCAATATTATTGTTATTATAAATAAAATATCTACAATAAAATAAATAAATAGTTTTTTACAGTAAAAAATATTAGTAAATAATAAAAATAACAATAAAATAATAATACAGAATAATATTCATACAAAACTACTAAGTAAATAAATAAAGTAAAAAATATGAAATATATAAATAAATATTTTTAAAAATATGTAAAATAATTTAACTAACCGAGGAAATTCAAATGTAAATAAACATTTAAAGTACTTTGAACAGATATTTTAAAGAAAAACTTAAAACTATAAACAATCTTTAAAACTTAAAAAGACTTTAAAATTTCAGAAAAAAATCCACTGTATTCTTGTAGTAAATAAACAATTGATAAATACAAGAAAGATAAGAAAGGAAATGAAAAAAAGAAGGGAGATGTAGATAGACATCCGTGGAAGATAACTGGAAGTTGCAGAATTAAAACAGAAACGGACCCTGGTCAACAGAGAGGAAAGGGAACCGGTAGAAGGAGAAGTAAAAGAAGAACTCTACTAAATCTCTGGACACGAGGCACCTGGTTCGAAGGAGGAGAGAGGAGGACACAGGAGACTGTTGAAGAAGAAAGAATTGTTAATAAATATTTTATTAATTGATCTTCTACATATTATTATACAGTCCTTCATTCATCAGGTCCTTTCCTTCTTTCGGTGTAGTCTTTCTCTTACTTCTCCTTCTACCGGTTCCCTTTCCTCTCTGTTGACCAGGGTGTGTTCCTGTCTTAATTCTGCAACTTCCAGTTATCTTCCACGGATGTCTATCTATATCTCTCTTCTTTTTTTTCCTTTCTCATCTTTCTTTTATTTATCAATTGTTTATTTACTACAAAAATACAGAGGATTTTTTTATGAAATTTTAAAGTCTTCTTAAGGTTTAAAGATTGTTTATAGTTTTAAATTTTTCTTTAAAAGTATCTGTTCAAAGTACTTTCAATGTTTATTAACATTTGAATTTCCTCGGTTAGTTAAGTTATTTTACATATTTTTTAAAATATTTATTTATATATTTCATATTTTTTACTTTATTTATTTACTTAGTAGTTTTGTATGAATATTATTCTGTATTATTATTTTATTGTTATTTTTATTATTTACTAATATTTTTTACTGTAAAAAACTATTTATTTATTTTATTGTAGATATTTTATTTATCTGTAGACAATAATATTCATACAAAAGTATTAATTAAAAAATAAAGTAAAAATTAATTATATATAATTAAATATTATATGTGACCTGGACAGTGAAAAGGGGGCTTACGTGCGAAAAAATCGCTTTTTTATTGATTGGTGATTCTGACAGAGAAAACTTTATTCTATCAGAATCACTGATCAATAAAAAAAACAATTTTCGCACGTAAGCCCTTTTTTCACTGTCCAGGTTACATATAAATATGTATTTAAATTATTTAATGATATTTAGGGCCTTTTAAATAAAGCGGACAACCCCCTCTTGTTTCTTTTTATTATAATTACTTTGAAATATGATTATTTTATTAAAAATCCATCAAATGAAGAAAAATAGGTGAATATTTTGTATTAAATTTAATGAAGTCAAAGCAACTAAATTTAATTCAAAATATACAAATATTTTCCTTTCTTTAATGAATTTTTAAAATAATAATATTTAAAGAAACAATATTAAAAAACAAGATCGAAGTTGTCTGCTTCAAGTAAAATATCTCATTTTACAAAAATTTATAGTTTTATTTTCGAGGAAATTCAAATGTTATTATTTAAAGTACTTTGATTGGATACTTTAAAAAAAATTATGAAACTATAACTGGCACATGACTATCAGCCCCGAGTTAATTTTGAAAAAATTTATGTTAGCAATAACATAAATAATAAAGTTAATAAAATTAATTATATTAACTTAATTTTTTGTATTGCTAACATAAATTTTTTCATAATGAACTCGGGGCTGATAGCCATGTGCCAGTTACAGTGTCATAAAAAAATTTAAAACCACAATCTTTAAATCTTAGACTTTAATTTTTCACAAAAAAATCCTTTGTATTTTTCTAGTAAATAATTGATAAATACTAGAAAGTTAACAAAGGAAAAAAAAGAAGGGAAATATATAGACATGCATGGAACTTAACTGGAAGTTAAGAGATTAAGTATGGAACTTCACCTGGTTAACTTCCTGGAAAAGGAGGTGGTATCAGGGTTACGTAAAAGAGAAAAACTCACCAAAATTCAGGACATCTTCTTCGGCACGTGGCTCATGGCGGACTAAATGGCTGCAGCGTCGAAAAGTGTCGATGGAAGTGGTGGGGCGCTAGGAATGCCGGGCGTTGATTGGTTGCAAATAATTTCTCCTTATTGGAAGTGGCGCGCGACGCTGTTGGTGGGGAAACACAAAACGCCTGACGTCCATTGGCTAATAATATTACTCTGCTGGAAATGCCGCGCGGTCCATTTAAATTTGAATTCTTCGATGACCAAAATTTCTTTCCGGTGTCCATATAGAATTGTTTTCAACATTTCCTGATGTTGTCTTTGATCTCTTCTTCTTAGGAATTGTCTGAAAATTCAATAAATAATATAATAATTATTATTTTCCACTTTAACAATGATAATTATTATTATCAATAATATAAATAATTACAATAAATTCACAGTATGTTTAGTTTAATTTATCGGAAATTATTTTTAGGTTAAATAATAATATTTAAATATATGTTAAAGAAAAATGTATATAATATTTTATTGGAGATAATTTCCAGGAATAATAATAAATTACTTTTTAATATAAAATTTTACTAAAACTTCAAATCAAATTTTTTTGAAATACATCTATACATACATCATAATCCATAGGTTTGATTCCCCCCATGCGTTATATTTATTTATTTCTCAGGTGTGCGTTTAATCATTAATTCTATGTATGAATTAGTTGAAAAATGAAAATATCTGTTAAATGTATGCAAAAATTACAAATTTTTTTTAATTAATTTATTTATTGTATGTATATTACAGTTAATTAATTAGAACTTTAATTAATAAATTTAATTTGAGTAAGAATTTAATTTAGAAATGGAAGAATTAGTAAATAAATATGTTATTTATTCATAATTTAAGCTTATTTATTATTAATTAACTATTATTATTAATATTGTTGATTAAAAAACATTAAGGCAAACTTGAGGGCAAGATGAGAGCAATCGTGAAAATCCATATAGAATCCATGAGGATATTCCATGAGGGCACCCATGAGGGAAAGCATTTCACGCCTTTAAGGGCCCCCACAGGGGTTGCCCCTATGGATTTCATACGGGATGAGGGCAATCCATGGGGGGTCCTCGCGGGGCCCTCACCATTTTTCCACACGGGTATAGATTACAAAAAAAATTAAAGAATTATTTTGAATTTTATCTAAATTTTTTAAGTAATTGTGGTTCATTAAACGTAAGAATAAATAATAAAAAATACTTTTTAACTCATATACATGGGGAGTTTCATATGAGAACAATTATGATGTCGCAGATTTTCCTTAACCCCTTGACAGTCGATAGCCCATATATGTCCAAAACAAGTTGTGCCACCTTTGTGATTTTGAAATGAATTTTGAAATGATTTTTGAATGAAAAGGGACCACTTTGTCAATTACAATAAGGATTATTTTTGCGTGAACATCATGAATATCGCCCTCATGAAAGAAACTAAAGTGGTTCCTTTTCATGCGGACGTACACATATGTCCACATTAGAAAAAAAATATACTAAACATAATTTAATTAGAGTATCAATGTATATACTAAGGTTTTCGGGGTCGCTGAATCCAAAATTTAGGCCAGATTTAAAAAATTGAAAAGAGCGAACTCAATATGGCGGAAAATTCCAAATTAATTCGATGCGTTCAAAATTTGATTTTAGAAGGTTTTTGGGGTCGCTGAATCCAACTTTGAATTCAGCGACCCAAAAGACCCCCAAATACCGAATTTTAAACAAATCGAATCAATTGCTTCCTCATGAAGGAAGCATTGTAATACCGAAATTTTTGTGAACTTGATTTTCTACTTTCGTACTAATGTTTTTTGACTCCCGGCTTAATTTAGAATAATG